TTGCTTTTAAGAAACACATCTTTGTGAACGTAACTTTAAACATTCTACTCTTCTTCTTCTTTTATGTCAACAACATTAACCATTCTACTAAGCGATCTTTTCATATAAATTAAATAACAGCTTATGTATGCATGCATGCATGTGGTTTTGGAGTCAATGCTTGTTTACATTTAGGACAGTAGCTAGTATTTACCGTTTAATTTGTTTTTGGTTTATTTGGAATATCAGTTTTTCTAAATAAAATTGGATCTGTGGTTATATAAGAAACGAGAGTAAAGAATAATGTGGGATTTAATGATATGGATGGTAGCAGGAGAGTTGCTAGGGCTACCGGAGATACCGGCGTTTATGGAAACGGTAGACGGAGGAGTTGATATTCTCCGGGGAGTCAACTATGCGTCGGCTGCCGGAGGAATCCTAGAGGAAACCGGTCGCCATCTGGTATCTACATAAATTTAGTTTGATTTCTTTTTAAACAAATAGTTTTAGTTTTTTGCATATATATCCATCTAAAGTTGGTTTAATGACACTAGTTTAAAGGTTTGACCGATTAAGCATTTTTCATTTCATGGAGGGAATCCAACTTTGAAATTTACGTCGACAATTGTTTTTGAAAACTATATATTTTTTATTTTTGTGTTGTTAATACGGCATTCACAATCACACACGGTTATAGATATTGATATCTTTAGCTAAATATTAGATAAATTGAATACTATATGTACATGTAATATTAATAAAGTACGAGATTAGTTTTTGACAAGAAAACAAATTAATTGGTCTGTCACGTTTTTGCGGTATATTTACAAAACATGCATAGTTTAATACCGAAAACAAGACTTCATTATGACCAATAGAAATGAATCATGAAGAGTGTTTCATTTTCAGGTGACCTAAAAAAAAAAAATTCTTAGTGATTCAATTCTGTTGACTCGATTTTAAAGTGACTTTGATTGGGTGCATGAAGTTTTGAAATCAATTTTTCAAGCGACTTTGATTGGGTGCATGAAGTTTCCACTGAAAATCTTTGGCGATTGCGACATTTGCTTATTAGACCTGCACATGAGTATTTAATAACCCCCACCAAAAAAATACTACTACTAATAAATGAATGGTGGATGCATGTCATGCATGAAGGGAGAGAGATTCAGCATGAGAAGGCAAGTAGAGAATTTCGAGAAGACATTAATGGAGATAAAGAGGACAAAAGAGTCGACTGTAAAAGAGTATATGGCAAAGTCATTGGTGGTTGTGTCATTGGGCAACAATGACTACATTAACAATTACTTGAAACCATCGCTTTTCCTCACAAGCTCCATTTACGACCCAACTTCTTTCGCCGACCTCCTTCTCTCCAATTTCACCACTCATCTACTTGTAAGTTGGTCTCTTTTTTTTTTTCTTTTCCAAATCATCTAAATAGTAGAGTAAGAACTAAGAACTCAATTAGTATATGGTATCTCCTATATGTGAGTCATCGGGTTTCGATTATAGTAACATTTTCCCGGTTTTGAAAGATAAAAAACATAAGGTAAAATTGATATTCGGTAAAGTATAGACCAATGACCACTGAATGAATTCTTTTCACTTGATTTCAAAATTGTAGACATCATTGGCTGCCATATAATTAGTTGCTATTTGGTTATTGGGAAATTATCATTCAATTTAAAAACCAAGAGATGCATGAATAAAAACGTAAATATAATTGCAACTATGTTTGATTCAACGTTTCAATGTTATAAACTTTATGTTATAATAACATTCATGTTATAATCATAATATTCGAGTTTTTTCCTAGGAATTGTATGGAAAGGGGTTTAGAAAATTCGTATTAGCCGGTATTGGTCCATTGGGTTGCATACCAGACCAACTAGCCGCCCGAGCGGCTCTGCCGGGTGAATGTGTTGCTGCGGTTAATGAGATGGCTGAGCTTTTCAACGACCGCCTCAAGTCGCTGGTGGATCGTCTCAATTCCGATAACAAAACCACCGGAGAAGGCATTTTTGTCTATGGCAATACTTATGGAGCAGCCGTGGATATCCTCACCAACCCATTTGCTTATGGTTAAGTATCTAATTTTATCCTTCCAAATTACACAACATGTTTATGTTTTGTGCGTGAAGCTAATCTAAAAAAAGTCTATTGCAATGAAAAAAAATCAACTTCTTATAAAAAAACAAGATTTATCTTTTTCATTTTGGTTTGGTTACATTTCATGCGGATTCTTAGCTAAAGAAAAAAAAAATGAAAACTCACTAATTTTATCTTCCATTATACTTTTTGATCAATTTTTTCGTTTAACTTTAATCATATCAGTTTAACTCGATTAGGAAATTTCAAAATATAAAATATTTGAAATGAAATAATTTAAA